AGGAGAATCAAGCCAATTTGCAGAGGTAAAGGCTGTCCAACTGGCCTCAGATGTTGCCGAATGGGAGAGGTGGCCAATGCTCTATCTTTACACTGATTCATGGATGGTGGCAAATGCCTTATGGGGGTGGTTGCAGCAGTGGGAGCAAAGTAACTGGCAAAGAAGGGGTAAACCTATTTGGGCTGCTGAACTGTGGAAAGATATTGCGGCCCGAGTAAAGAATATGGTTGAAAAGGTGCGCCACGTAGATGCTCATGTGCCCAAGAGTCAGGCTACTGAAGAACAGCAAAACAACCATCAGGTAGATCAAGCTGCCAGAATTGAGGTGGCTCAAATAGACCTGGACTGGCAGAACAAGGGTGAATTATTTCTGGCTCGGTGGGCCCATGAGACCTCAGGTCATCAAGGGAGAGATGCAACATACAAATGGGCTAGAGACCGAGGGGTGGACTTAACTATGGATGCCATTGCACAGGTTATTCATAACTGTGAAACATGTGCCATCATCAAACAAGCCAAGAGGATGAAACCTCTCTGGGAGGAAGGGCGATGGCAAAAGTACAAATATGGGGAGGCATGGCAGGTTGATGATATCACCTTGCCACGATCTCGCAATGGTAAGCATTATGTGCTTACTATGGTGGAGGCAACCACTGGGTGGCTTGAAACATATGCAGTACCCCATGCTACCGCCCGAAACACCATACTGGGTCTCGAGAAACAAGTCCTGTGGCGACATGGCACCCCAGAAAGGATTGAGTCAGATAATGAGACTCATTTCAAAAATTCTCTTGTAAATACTTGGGCCCAAGATCATGGCATTGAGTGGATTTACCATATTCCCTATCATGCACCAGCCTCTGGTAAAATTGAACGCTACAATGGATTGTTAAAAACGATGCTAAAAGCACTGGGTGGCGGAACATTTAAGCACTGGGAGAAGCATTTGGCAGAAGCCACCTGGTTAGGCAATACCAGAGGATCTATCAATCGTGATGGTCCTAACCAATCCAGTTCCCTACATACCGTAGAGGGAGATAAAGTCCCCGTTGTACATGTAAAGAACATGTTAGGAAAGGCAGTTTAGGTATTATAGTAAAATAAGTTTTCCTCCATAGATTGTTGCCGCTGTTATTTTCCTCCCTTCCTTCCTTCCCATTTTTGTGGGACTGGGGTGGGGGGGAGGGCAGAGGCCTGTCGCCCCTGTCACGGACATAGATTGATCTGGTCAACTCCGTGACACACCCCGTCCACCGTTCCTCTTCCTCCCTCTAGGATCCCTCTCAAACCCCATTCTGCCTATCGCCCAATTTCTCCCTCCCTCCCAACTCCCTGTTGTGCCCTTCTCCCTTTCTCTCCGTTCCTGCACCCTGGCACCCTTTTTCACCCCTTTCTCCATTCCATTCCATCCTTCCCGGCTCCCTATAGTGCCCCTTTCTCCCCTCTTCTCCTTCCCTCCCACCTACCTCCCTGCCTCATCTTTTCACTCTTCCTCCCTCTCTCCCTTTCTACTCCCCTTCATGCTCCTTTCTCCCTTCCTCCCACTTGCTCCACCCTAGCTCCCAGTCACACTCCATTTTCCCATCCTCTACTGCCCTCCCAGCTATGCCCATTTCCCCCTACCTTTCCCTACCACCTGGTCCTCTGTCGTGCCCCTTTCTTGCTTTCACTCTACCTTTCCCTCCCTCCCAGCTCTCTTTTACTCCCCTTTCTCCCTACCTCTCCTTCTTACCCAGGTCTCTCTCACACCCCTTTCTCCCTTCATCCCTACCTTTCCCTCTCTCTCAGCTTTCTGTCATGCTTTCTCCCTACATCTCTCTTTCCCAGCTCCCTGTCACACCCCTTTCTCACTAGCTTTTCTACCCTCCCACCTCCTTGTTGCACCCCTATCTCCCTACTCCTCCCTCCCGGCTCTCTGTCACGCTCCTTTCTACTTTTCTCCCTACCTCTCTCTCCCTCACAGCTCCCTATCACACCCATTTGTCCCTTTCTCTCCCTGCCTGTCACCTCCCTGTCGTGCCCCTTTTTCCCATCCTCTCCTTCCCTCCCAGCTCATTGTTGCACCCCTTTCTCCCTACCTCTCCCTTCCTCTCAGCTTTGCCACACCTCTTTCTCCCTTCATCTCCCTCCCAGCACCATATAGCACCCCTTACTCCTCCCTCCTGGCTCCCTATCATGCCTCTACCTCTCAGCTCTCTCTCGTGCTCCTTACTCTCTTTCCCCCAACCTCTTCCTTCATTCCCAGCTCTTTGTTGCACCCCTTTCTCCCTACCTCTCCCTCCCTCCCAGATCTCTGTAGTGTCCCTTTCTCTCTACCTCTCCCTCTCACCCAGGTCTGTCACATCCCTTTCTCCCTTCATCCCTACCTCTCCCTCTCTGCTCTCCATCATGCACCTTTCTCCCTATATCTCAGTTCCTTCACAGGTCTCCATTGCACCCCTTTTAACCTTTCTCACTACCTTCCTCCCTCCCAGCTCTCTATCGTGCCCCTTTATTGCTTTCTCACTGCTTTCCCTTCTCTTCCAGCTCACTGTTGAGCCCCTTTCTCCTGCTCCTTCCCAGCTCCCTGCTGTGCACCTTTCTCCCTATATCTCCCTACATTTCCCTCCCTCCTGGCTTGCTCTCTGTCACGCCCCTTTCTACTATCCCTCTCCCTTTTGGCTCTCTGTTGCTCTCCCTCCCTTTCTCCCTTTTGGCACATGCACGCATGCTCTCCCTCTCTCCCCTCTGTCATGGTTTTGTGATTTTTGTTGTCGGTAGTCCACATCATAACATAATGTAAAGCAGTGGAAGTTACAGTTAACGTTCTGGTTCCATGGAAAGCCTTTTTTGAGCAGTTTGGTTCTTGGAGGGGAGGAGCAGCATTCCCTAGAGGACTTCACGCCCAGAGGAAGAAAGGTGGAGGTCCTGACAGGTCATGAGCTCTCTGTTCGCTGCCAAGGAGCACAAGTTCCCCTGCGCTTTCACCTGCAGTCTATAGAGTAAGGCCTCGGTTTTGGACACACTCTTTCTCATTTTTGTTTGACCTGTTGGCTTCAATCCCAATTGCATCTTGTTGTATTGTGTTCTCTTGCATTCTGAAATCATATTTAGCAAATTAACATTCTTCCTCAGATCATTGCCACTGCTGTTTTTAGACCCATCTACTACCTCCCTACCCTTCCCCTTTTTTCCCCCTCTCCTGGGGCATGGGTCTGCAAGTCCCCTGCCTCATTAGCCACGGGGCCAGGCCGGACCAGCCCATAAGCTGTTGATGCTTTTTCTTTCTTTCTGTTTTTTTTCTGGGCTGCGGGGCCTGTGGGCCTGCTGTCCCCCTGTCACAGACACAAATCTAAAGATAACTACACGACACCCTCCCTCTCACTCTCCCTTCTGGCTCTCTCTAGCGCTCGCTCCCTCCCTCCCCCCTCCCCTCCCAGCTCACTCTTTCCCACCCTTCTCCCCTTCTATCCTTTAAATTGTCTATAAATGTTTAATTCCACAGCTCTACGTGCTATACTTCAATCATAGAGAAGTCTTTTCAGCATGCAAATTCAAACTCCTGTCATTTTTTTCTTTTCTAGCCCCTTTTCAGTTTTTAATCTGTATTTGCAACCAAAACTCACTAATTTGAAGATCTTCTCAATCTTCAATTTAAGCTAAGTTGCACACTTCTGGCCCTATTATGACAGTCCGAGAAAACTATTTCTTTCTTGACCCACCATTTATTGCCTCTTAAGATTATCACAGAATGGCCACAGAATGGGTTGGAAGAGACCTCAAGGATCATGAATCTCCAACACCCCTGACACATGCAGGGCCTACCAACCTCCCCATTTAATACTAGACCAGGCTACCCAGGGCCCCATCCAACCTGGCTTTGAACACCTCCAAGGACAGGGCATCCACAACCTCTCTGGGCAGCTGTTCCAGCACCTCACCACTCTCTCTGTAAAGAATTTCCCCCGACATCCAACATAATCTCCCCTCCCTCAACTTAAAACCATTTCCCCTCACCCTGCAGTTCTCAACCCTTTTAAAGAGTTGATTCCCCTCCGCTTTGTAGGCTCCCTGTAGGTACTGAAAGGCTGCAACTAGGTCACTCTGCAGCCTTCTTTTCTCCAGGCTGAACAAGCCCAGCCACGACTTTTCAAACATGGAGAGCAGCTCAGCGACCACCTCAGCCAGCTCCTTCAGAACCCTGGGATGCACACCATACGACCCATAGACTTGTACACATTCAGTCTCATGAGGTGGTCTCAGACCTGCTCTGCCCTCACGGTGGGGGGGGATTTACCACCCCGGTCCCCACCTAGAGGTTTAGGGATGCAAGGCTCAGGGACATGAGAAGTACTGGAATCCCAGCCGCCAGTGAAGACCGAGACAAAGAACTCATTCAGTACCTCAGCCTTCTCTTTGTCCGCTGAAGCAAGTTCTCCTTCTACATTTACCAACGGAGGATTACTCGATACTCTGGAATTAACATTGCAGTCCACCCTCCTATATCATTCTCATTATGTCCTCTCAGAGTTGTATAATCACATTTCTGAAAATAATTATTTGGGTGTATCACTTCCATTTTCTTGTGTTTTTAAGATCTCAAATTTTAACTAAGACACAGACTCGACTTTAAAAATTCATATAATATTTTTTCATCAACTGCTAACGTTAAGATAAAAAGTGAAAGAGTCAGGAGAACTTACCCTTTTCATCATCAGTACACCTGCCAAGGTAAGGTGGAATTTCAGCCTGATACTTTGAACCAACCATTATTTCCTCAAGATGAAACAAAAAAAAAAAAGAAAGGGAGATAAATACATACTTAATATTTTTCACATGGACGCATTATTAAAAAGAAGTCATTAACTTGGCATTCAGCAGAAAATTCCAGAATTAAGGTACAATTATAGATTACATTCATTCATGTACATTCTGTAGATCTTTAAAACTTTGCTATAAAAAAAAAAAACCCCACACATTTGAACTGTTGGCGATTTTTGTTTTATAAAATAATTATTACCTTTCTCAAATCTTCGGATGCATTACCACTGTCTACCTCCACATCTTCACCATCTGATTCTTTATCTCCATCACAAGTAGTGTTTGCTTCAGACACAAAAATGTTTGGTTTTAGCTAGGAAGCATTTTCACTTTAAACATAACTACAGTAAATTGTTGTTTATCTTTTACTTTTGAAAGAAGCAGCTGCTTTTATTCAGGAACACACTGATCACAAGTCTGTTACTCTACACTTCTATCAAACTACAGAATCAAGCCAGAAAGCACCAGTACTTGTATACTGCAGAACTGAAACATTTATCATGACTGTAACTGAGACAACCTAACATATTTCTAACAGTCAAAAGGGAATAAAATCATTTTTCTTCTCTTTTGTTCTTTCCCCTCTCCCTTTTAGTGAAGGCTTACACATTATAGAAAAGGTATGAGAAAACAAACCTTCAGGGCTACAACTTAGCCCCAGTTAATCACAAAAATGTATGCTGAATGCAAGTCTTTATTATCTACCAAAGCCTGTAATTTGAAGTTTTAATGGGTATTCAAAACATTCTTTTAAACAAGGCTGCCTCAACATGGAGTGAAGATACAGCAGCGATATTCAAAATAGAATAAGCAAAAGGCAGCTTATTGCTTATTCTTTTTTCTACTTTTTTTTTCCTCCCCTCCTTGGGAGGGCAGACAGCAAAGCACTCCAAGTATTTCAAATACAGTACTTCACAGAACTACTCATATTTTAGAAACTGTAACACTGTGGTACTGGGTTCTGAAATTTTTTACAGATGTATAATTCCTAGTAGAATGTAATCTACTATTACAATAAGATTAAAGCCGCCACGCTTTCAGTGTCATATTCATTAACATTTCACAAGCAACGTTTAAGTGCCAGCAAAGGTGGGGTTTGCTTAATTTCAAGAGCATTATAGTTTTTAAGGATTTTCGTATCTCACCTTAAATAAGCATGTCTTACATTACAGAATCAGCACTCAAAACTACACCTGCAGGTGACAGAGGCAGCACATCATCTTCATCATCCTTCTTTAGCAGGATATAATCCCCCCCAAAAAATAGCTCAAGATACCGGCCAAATTAAAACCATGATAAAATCCTTCACATTGTCCTAACTCCAGTACACCACTGAACAAATGAGTTGCAGTAGGCAATGAGGAATATCTGGTCCGTGTTGGGTAACTGAACCACTGGTTCCCAAACCTTCCCCATCATAGCTCCATGGGAAGTGAAACTTTGGTGACCATGGGTTCAAAGGCCCCATCCCACATAAAAACATTGGCTCACCCTACAATGTCCTATAGAAAAGTGATGTATTCACGAAAGGAATCACAAAGAAATCACAGCCAGACTCATGTTCTCTAGCTGAACTGAAGCCATTGGCTTAAAAATAGCAAAATTTTAGTAGAGAAACACTAACTTAAAAAAAATGGGCTATATATTCATGTTATTCACAAATACTGAAAATCATTAAGAGTGCTCCTCAACACCACATTAATTATTAACTATGAAAACTCACTGTATCTGCAGAAAAATTAACTGTATACTGGTTTCGAGCACAATACAAAATGTAGCTCTTCCAGGTAACTAGTAATAACAATTAAAGACAACATTCACATACAATATCCTCCAAAGCACTGTTTCTCAACCATTAATAAATCGGCAGTACTCTGCAACTCTGATATTTTAAGCTAGAAAGTCATATGTAACGACAGGACTACTTTGAGTATTGTTATAAAATTAGATTTCCTACATCTTAATGGCCGAGGAAAGAAGTCTGTAGCCTCATGTGAAGTAACTGACGGCATCAAGTCATCAGCAGAGGACTGTGTTTCTCCATCATCACGCGACAAGAGATCTTTAGCTATTTCTTCCTGTATCATTGAAATAAAACAATTAAATAAATAATCTCAGATTGTGCATAGTCAATCAACATAAAGATGTTATAATCATGAAATAAACAAGAGAGCTTGATTAAGCAGACTATAATAACAAAAAGAGAATAGATAGAAAGCTTACCTATGTCCCAAGCTCACTACAAAACTCCAGGAGGAATCTCCAGAAAAGATCCTTCCCCTCTGGTAGCCAGCTCTTAAATAGGTCCAGGAGGGGTGGAGCCAGGCTCCCCCCCTTCCGGCAGCACAGGTGAATTGCCTTCACCTGTGCTCCTCTGGCTGACTCATGGCTTGCCTCAGGTGATCAATCAGAGGTTCAGGCCCTGACTCAGCAGTTCCCATACAGATTGTCTATTAAGTATGGACTGGTGAGCATTTAGATTCAGTAAATTATTTCACGGTAAGTACTTTTAGCAGATTTTACTCCCTTAATTAGAAAGCTAGTTTGCTCCTCCTAAATCTAAGAAACATAACTTCATTTCAGAGTTGAACATGGGTTTGTTTCCCCTTTGTTTTCTATTAAAATAAAGGCACAAGAAGTAACCTCTGCAACTATCAATCTCAGATGTGCTTCCAACCATTTCCAATGAAAAATATCAATGAAAAGTGCCTCAAAACTTCAGAATTTCGTCATTCTTTATATCACAGATACACTGAAGCTTTAAGAGGCTGTTACCCATATACTCTGGAAAAAGAAAAGAGGTCAGGCACTTCTGCAGGCTTTTGCTGAGAGGACGGTTACAGAAAATAGACAACCCATTATCTTTCCAAAACACACCAAAAACGGAAGTTTTCAAAGGAAAATGGGGGGAAAAAAAGCACTAGTAGACATATTTGAACTCCTCTGTATATAGGTTAGGGAGGAAAAGAACTATATTAGATAACAAGTTGACTACATTTTTGTAACCTCAACACAATCATGAATCTAATGAGAATTAGATGTGCAGAGCCATATCTATATTCATATTCAACTTTCTATGGGGCTTATCTGTAAGTGATGTATGTTAGTAAAAAAAAGCAACATATACTTACTATCTACAGATTTTATAAACAGAGTAAAATGTCAGAATTCAATGTTAGCCTTCAAATCACACAGACCAATTTTTTTTTTTTTTTTTTTTTTTTTAAATCAAGAATGTATTTTTTTGTAATGACTGTGTGTTACTATCTCTGTCTCCCTCACTCACGCCCCTCCCCCCCTCACAAAGTTAAGGTCTTTCACAAATTATATACATCTGAAAGGAACATTCCAAAGCATTCAAGAGAGCATTTTCAAGTTATCCACATAAGTTTTGGTACATGACACTGTGACAGCATGCTTTCCCCCCAACCCGCAACCCTGTTCAAACAATAACCATCAGTGGCATCTGTGACAGATGCATCTGGTCATGATAGCTGCACTGAGCTCAAGGTGTATTCAGGGGAGACAGATAACACCACAATAGTCAAGGGCTAATAGAGTATGCACCAAGTATTACTGGTATGCAAATATGAATAAGGAATTAGAATCAGATTCTTGGTGTCCTTGAAAATGAATGAATACAGTAGTTCTTGACTGTATATTGAAATTGACAAAGATAGGCATTTTGTAACATCAAGAGATAAGGAAATGTTAAGTATTATTTGAAGTCACATGTATTTTTGCTTTTAAATTGTAATACTGGGAAAAAATGGCTCTGACTTACTTTATCTAACGTCATATCTGGAAGTTCATCTGCAAGTTCACTTGGAGAGCTATTCACACTGGAACCTGCCATAACTGGAATCGTGGGTTCATATCCATAGAATGCCAGTAAATCTTCCAATGGCATGTTTCCTTCCTAATACAAGAAGATTTATGAACACCTCAACATGTTAGCAAATACTTGCAAACTTTTCGGGCCGAAAAGGATAAGATATATTTTGGGGAAAAAAAAAAAAAAAAAAAAAAAAAAAAAAAAAAAAAAAAAT